CCAGACAGAGGCCATGCCATGGGTACCCTGCCACTTGGATCAAATACCTTGAATCCAGGGTTATGTTGCCCTGGTCACCATAGGCACTGTCCCCAAGTGTTTTGGGGGTATGCATATTGATACAGAAAAGAAGGAATTCCAACCAGGACTTGACTATTTAATCAGAGGTGGCCAAACCCAGCAGGGAGAAAACAAGAAAGCAACTTATTTAAAAACAAACAAACACTTGAGAACTTCTCAAAAAGGAAATGAAGTGACAAATTATCAACCTAATGTGGCATTTCAGCTGACTGCAAGGTTCTAGCAAGCAGCAATTATTCAAACTGTAACCCTTTTGTATTTTTTGCAAGCTTTGCACACCTGCTCCATTTTATTCTCTCTGCTTCCTGAGAGGAGCACTTAGGACTGTACAAAAGGAATGTTGGGTCCAAACTGCCTGGATCCAGATATCGGGTCCAGTTTTGCCCCAGCACAAGTCTGGGGACCAGGAAAGCATACCAAACACTGGGTGTTGTACAATTGTGGGCAACTCTGACCTCTTTAGGCAACACCATAACAGGATTTCACTTGCTGACCTTTTATCCAGGGTTTTGTATACACTGCCGAAGTAAAACTTGTCTGTGGTTTATCATCATGAAGGTCAGGAGGGAGGACACTTATCTTTGTCAGATTTGAGTGTCAGGAGTATGTGAACTTTATAAAATCAATTTGGATGCATAAAACCCATCCATCATTTCCCCCATGTGCTCTGGAAAAGTTTAGAGAAATAGAAATGACTGTTTTTCTAGTTTGGAAGAACTCATAAGAATACTCTCTATGTTTTGTATCTTTTTTAGAGAACAATTGTAAAATTTCTTCTGTAGTTATTGGTTTTTCACTCATTGAGTCCATTTTGGAAATTTACAAATATATTACTAGAATATTGCTTTTAATGTTGAAGCACTCATTAATAAGCATGGAAAATGCATGTACTATTCTCTTAAATTTCAAAAGTCATGTCTATAGCTGTGTTATTACTTCCTTTCTAACCACATATTTGGTATTATTTTCTTGACTAGACCAGTTGATGGATTATCTATTTTGTCTATGCCTTCCCCTTCCCATAAAGAACAATCTAGACATGAATTCCACTACTTCTAAGAGGAATTATGCTTCTCCTTGCCCAGCCACTTTTTGAGCTGCTGATTCTAGGAGTCATGAATCTAGAGAGCTGTGGAGGAAGGAGATGAAGTTTTGAGTAGTGCCCTGGCTCTGCTTCAATGCACAAGCATATGGTTTTCTGTCTGGTCTCAGGTGCCTTGAGGATCTGCTGGAAGCCACACCCTTGTCTCCAGAAATTTGCCTGCATTTGAATCTTGGCTCTCCTATTTACTAGCTGAGGGAACTGGGGCAAGTCAGGTGGTTCTCTAGGCCTCAGTGTCCCCATCTCCTAAATGGGGATAATAACATTCCCTTTCCTCATAGGGTCTTTGTGAGGATTAAGTAGGATAACTTTTGTATAGCATTTATGGGAGAGCCTGGTGCGTGGCTAGGGCTTCCCTCGTGGCTCAGATGGTAAAGAATCTGCCTGCAATGCAGGCGACCTGGGTTCGATCCCTGGGGTCAGGAAGATCCCCTGGAGAAGGAAATGGCAACCCACTCCAGTATTCTGGCCTGGAGAATCCCATGGAGAGAGGAGCCTTGTGGGCTTTAGTCCATGAGGTCGCAAAGAGTTTGACATGACTGAGCGACTAATACTCTCACACTTCGGCTGGCACCGTTGTCAGTGGCTAACAGTTCAGGAAGTTAAACGTCATCACCATCATCATTAGTGGTCTTCTCCTGCTCAGTCCTTTTCTCTCTCCACCCTGGGGAGGTACTTGTGCTTCCCCCACCTCAAGGTCCAGATCTGAGGGGGCTTCTGTGAGCAAGGCACACTGTGGGCTGATGGAAAGAAAGAAAGTGAAGTCGCTCAGTCACGTCCAACTCTTTGCAACCCCATGGACTGTAGCCTACCAGGATCCTCCGTCCATGGGATTTTCAGAGTACTGGAGTCAGTTGCCATTTCCTTCTCCAGGGGATCTTCCCCACCCAGGGATTGAACTTCTGGGTCTCCTGCATTGTAGTCAGACACTTTACCGTCTGAGCCACCAGAGAAGTCCTGGGGTGATGGAAGTTTGTCCCAAATGGGAAGAGGAAAGGAGGGCGGAGTTAGGGAGGTTGTGGTAGAAGCAGGCAGAGGAAAAAAGGCAAGATAGCTTCCCCCAGACCTGGGAGATGGGGGCCTGTGGCTGTGCTAGTAGCAAGGACCATGTCCTGCTCCTGGTGATGCCCTGAGGATGTATGAACCTCAAGGGACATGCTGCGTGGTGTCCTTATGCCCAGGCTTTGCAGGAAGCAGACACCTGCCCTCAAGTGTTCATTCATCAAGCCTGCATGCAATGACTAGAAGGCAGCGAAACCACAGGGTCCCTCTCTGATGTTCTGGGCCTTTTGAGGCTTCTAGCATGAGAGTAAAATGACTCAGGACACTGAATTTCCCACCTGATAACCAGGGGCTCAAAGTGGATTAAACTTTTTTTTTTAAAAGAATGATTTCACTTAGCTAGGGCAAATGGGAACCAAAATCCATACCTGCTTCCCCTGTCTTCCATACCTTGAGTTTCTCTGTTGAAGCGTTTTTAGGACTTTCTAAGAGAAAGTTCTGCTGAATTTCCAGGGTGATGCGTGTCAGGTGAGCCCTTGGGTCCCGAGTCCTAGCTGCTCTCTTGATCTGAATCCTTGTGATTCCCTAGTGAAGTTTCCAGGGTGTGGGCAGTGCCTCTCATTCTCATTAGCTGGCTGGTGCCCACCCTGCCCATGGCCACTGCCTGTAGGCCTCAGTCTGGGGGACAGCAAGGGGTTTATGTGGAGGTGGGGCTTCCCAAAAAAGGCTGTAGTTGGGTGTGTACCCAACTTGGCCACAGTGAGGAGTAGCTGTGTTGGGACCATTCCTGGGCATGACCAGCAGGGCTCAGAGGTCTTGGAGGGTGGCCAACGGGGCCTTGGTATCTTGACCATAAAGGGGAGATGCTTGGTGGGAGCTGGGGAGTGATCCCCCTGCTCCGAGCTGGAAGGGCAGGTGTTGTTAACCTCACTCAGTCTGAAGCAGCAGGGCAAGCAGGAACCTTCCTCAGGAGGCTGGCCCCAGGGGCGGGCATCAGGTGTGGGGCCAGTGCAGATGCTGACGGACCCCCAATGCAGAGGGGAGGGGCTTGGCACACAGGCACTGCCATGGACCAAGAGGGAACCTGTTTGGCACCCAGCCCCTTACCACCCAGCAAACCCCACACTGTTTTCTTGGAAGGTGGTTTCTAAGGAATAACCTTTTTTTGGTTCAGGCTTGAAGGTGGTTGGCACCTCCTCCCCTCCTCTCCTCCTGCCGCAGTCTCGCTCATTCCCACCTTCTAGCCCCTCCAGTCCCCCATCCCCCAGGAGCACTGTGCCTCCCCGGGAGCCTTCCTTGAGCATCTGCTGAAGCCTGTGGCCTCAGACAGGCTCCTCCTCTAGGCTTCAGCTTTCTGACCTGGCAACTGGGGACTCTTGACTGTACCTCTTGGGACCTTCTGACAGTCTGGAATTTGGTGACCTCGTCTGAATCCTACTTGCCCTCCTGGGGGCACCTAGGAAGGAGAGCGCTGGGGCTGGAATGAGGACAGAGTCTCTGAGGCACACAGGGGTACAGGTTGTGGCAGAGCAGGACCCCTGGAAGGCAGGCTTCTGCTTGCACCCCTTCTCAGTCCTGCCGTCCAGCCCTAGGTGGAGAGCGGCAGGGCCACAGCCCTCACCCCGAGTTGGGAAAGAGTCGAACCCAAGCAAGACTCGGTGAGGGAAGGCGAGAGGGGCTGCAGTCGCGTTCCGCTCCATCCTCTGCCTGGGCTAGTGAATGGCTCAAGGGCTCCAGTGGGCTGGGCCAGGGCCTTCTGGAAGCACAGCATGGCTCCAGGAGGACCCCCCTCTCCACCCTGTTGGAGCGCCTACTTGCTCCGGGGGTCCTGAGGCGTGACTAGTGTGAGAGCCAAAAGGGGGGGCCCCCTTCTCCTTGGAGGACTCTGAGTGCAGCAGGCGGGGGAGACCGCGAGGACCTGGAGGCGTGGTCTGACACCCTGCGGCTGGCCTGCAGGAGTGGCTCACGGGCTCTCCATGCCACATGTGGGCCAGGCAGGAGAGGAGCCCCATTTTACTGACGGGGAAACTGAGGCCCAGAGGTGTTGCAGGCCTTGCCGAAAGCCACACAGCCGGTGAGCAGGAGACCTGGCCCTGGAACTCACAGCCCTGGTTCTTGGACCAAGTTTCTTTCCCTTTGTCACTACTGTCACTGCCCTGGGAAGGAAGGGAGCTGGCAGGAGGCAGGTGGGTGCAAAGGTGTTCCAAGGGCTTGTGGGAGGAGAAGGAACCGGGCAAGTGCCTTCCTTTGCTCCTTCCAGCCTGGATCCAGGGTCCAGGAGCTCAGGGTACCGCTGCCAGGACAGGAGCGAAAGGGCCGCCGTCTCCATCAGCCTCTGCCAAGTAAACTCTTCTCCCTTCCCTTCCCGGGCTCCACCACTTTCCCCCGGGGCCGTCTGACTAGGGAGGGAATGTTTTCACGTTGGGAGGTGCACCCGCTCCAGCCCTGTGAGCAGGAACTGTCTCCGGCTCTAGTGGCTCCATTCCAACGTAGGCTGGGCATTCAGTAGGTGCTCAGTATGCGAGAAGGGGGCAGGTGGCTGGTGGAGGGGGTGACTGTGTGAGAGCGAGGGGGGTGGGTGGTGGTGGAGGGTGAGATGCCGGCGGCCTCTCCCCACACAGCGCACTTGGCGCCGGGAGAGCCCCTATGGGGCTTCCAGCGGGGGCTCGAGGCCCTCTGGGTCAAGCTGTGGTCCTGGCGGGTGGTGGCTGCCCTTTCCACATTCTGCTGCGAAGGATGGAGCCCGAGCATGTCCCCTGAGCCCAACCTAGCTCTGGTCATCCCGGCCGGCAGGCCACATGCAGAAAACCACGGAGTAGAAAAACCTTGTTTTATTCAGCCCAGGCCTGGGCAATCTTACTCTGTGGTATGGCCAAAATATAAAAAATAAAAACCAACAACCAACAAAATAATGTGGTGGGGGAGAGTTAAGTACACAGTGGGGCCTGGCATCCGGAGTCCCTGTGGTTTCGGTCCCCGTTCGCTCCCTGAGGCGGGCAGGGAAGGATGCTCCCGCGGTCCAGCTGCCCCTGCCTGTGAGTGGGGGCTGGGCCCCTTGGCCGGGCTCGTCCTGGCGGGAGGCTGCCTGGGGAGCAGGGCCTGCTTTGGGAGGTGAGGAGGTGGGCCGGCTGTATACACCTCCCCGGGATCAGGATCTAAGGAAAGAAAGAGAGCAGGTCAGCGGCAGGCTGAGGGGCAGGGAGACCTCACTCGACTGTCAGCTAGGCCCCCCACCACCACCTCCCCAGCTGGGCGGTTCCCCTCCACTCTCCTCAGTCATGGGGGCTCAGGGACCAGATGCCATGATCTTAGTTTTCAGAATGTTGAGTTTTAAGCCGACTTTTTCACTCTCCTCTTTCACTTTCATCAAGCGATTCTTTAGTTCTTCGCTTTCTGCCATAAGGATGGTGACATCTGCATATCCGAGGTTATTGATATTTCTCCTTGCACCCCCAGCTCTAAGAAGAGGGGTTTCATGGGATCCCGCCCAGGGTGTGGTCTGGGCAGCACACCGCCCCATGCCCTGAGCTCCAGACTCTTTTTCTGGGCCATTAGCAGAGCTGCTACTGTCTGAAAATACTTTCTTATTTCTTCTAACTCAGTACTTTTGGGGAAAAAAAAAAATGGCCTTCTTTTTCCTCTTCAGAAACATGATTGAAACCCACAGGCGTCAGTCCCGTGGCCTTTCTGGGAACGCTCCTTCCAGCTTCCTGTGTGCTGGCCCAGCCGCCTGCCTGCGGTCAGGGTCGCGGAGACGCGCTAATGAGACCTGAGCCTCTCCAAGCACTTATGTAAAGGGCTCGGAAGGAAGGGCCTCGGCATTCCTGGTGCCCGCAGGCCCCCGGGGAGCTGGAGAGGGTGTGGGGCAGCTGCTCTGTCCACCCCGCTGAGGGGCCCAGCTCACCGTGCCTCCCGGAAAACAGGGGGCTGTTTGGATGCTCCCCCCAACAGCAGCAGGAGCGACAAGAGGGCGTGTGGGCTCCCTGCCTCCCTCACTCCCGCCTCTGCCCCCTTTCCTCTTGTATGGCTCCTGACTCCATCCCGCCCGCCCCTGCTACTCCTTCCTTCAACTGCTTCCCAGAAAACCTCTACTGTTTAGGTGACCCCTGGACTTTTAAAGGCTGAAAGAGACAAGCCCTGAGGAGCAAGAAGGTGCTGGAAACCCAGGCCTGCCAAAGGGCTAGGTTGCCAGGGATGGGGCAGGAGTCGGTCGTTCCCAGGTCACTCCGTGACCTGGATAATTCTGATCTAATCCCACTAATGAGGAACAGAATCTCTGAATTGAACCAGAGGCTACTGTTCTCACAGTGCGGTGGAGGGCTGGGAACAGTTAGCTTAGTGGTAGCAGCCAAGGGTGAAGGGGCTATCTGTAAACACACACGGAGCCCTCACATACCAAGCCCTGACCCTGGTCACATGCTGAGCCTTAATCCTGGTCACACACGGAGCCCTAATCCCGGTCACACTATGAGCCCTGACTCTGGAGATAGGCTAAGCCTCTCATATCTGTGAACCATTAATAAGCAGGCGTGTTTGGGGTAAAATGCTTCTCTGGGCCTTGCAATCCCTGCCACTTGTCCCCAAGCTGACGGACTACAGCTCTAGAAGACTATTCTTTTTTTCTTTATTTTTTAAATGGAAGAGAGTTGCTTTGACCCAATCAAGCATTTAAAATTCACACAGAGTGCGGCTGCATTTTCTTAATGAGTTTGTAAGCAGGCAGTCCCTCTGCAAAGTACTTCACGTGAGGAATCAGGAGAGAGGCTGAGGACAGCCAGCTCGGGCAGCTGAGGAGCCATGTGCCAAAGGCCTGGGTGCAGAGTTTATCAGCTCCCTCCACAATGGGGCCCAGGGGCTGATGACCGATTAGAAGTGACTCCAGCCAGAATCCCTTCTAATCTGGGACTGCTGCATTCAATCCACCTTACAGAGACGCTAAGGCTCACACAGCTGCCCATCACTGAGCACCAGTGTAAGGGTTCTGGAACACGTAGAGACAGCTGTCAGGCCTTTCAATCTGCCTCACAAGCCTGCCTGGGAAGTGTCGAAGAGAAAAGATCAGAGAGGTGAGACGAGCTGCCTGAGGTCACAGAGTGAGGGAGTCACAGAATGAGGCCTGCCGGGCCCTGCACCTCCTCGCTGCCTCCTGCCAGTCTCCAGTTGAGAGATGGGGGGCCACGCCCCAGATCAGCGCCCGCAGCCCGAGCGCCACCCCCACCCCGAGCACTGGGCTTGGGGTGGGCACAGACGAGCCTCCTCCTGCGCAGCCTGGGGGCTGGTCCAGCTGCAGCCGTGCATGGCCACCAAGGTGACCCAGAGGGCAGGCATCCTCCGTGTTTCGGGTGGCCCTGCCTGCTCCTCGAGGAGGAGAGGGGCTGGGGCAGGGAGCAGGGTGGGTGAACACTTACTGGACGATTTTGCAGTTTGTTGTAGAAACGTAGCGACCTGTATAATGGATGTTGCATCTCACTACATTGTTGGTGAAGTCAGACTCCAAAACGATGTACTTTGGGTTCACATGCACCTGAGGAAGGAAGGGAACAGATGGAAAGGGATCTGATCAGGGAGCTGTGCTTCACTTGGTCGCCAAGGAAGGTGGAGAGGCAGACGGGCAGACACAGAGGCGACAAAGAGAGGGAGACACGCAGATGGAGAAAGACCACGCCAGACCAAGAGACGCACTGATGCAGAGACGGGAGAAGATGCAGAGACACAGAGAGAGGAAGGAAGAGACAGCTCATGGTCAAAGAAAGCGTCATCAGATCACCCTTCTTGGAAGACAGGCAGCTTCCTCAGTCAGAGGTCAGGACAGGGGGCCTGGCACAGGGCATTCAGAGCCACTGCCCCAGGGAACCCAGCAGTGAGTGAGGGGCTGGGCAGGGATCCCATGCCTAGTCTCCCTGACTACGAAGCCGGTACCCTTTCACCATGCGTGCCCATCTAGATGACCCGCTGATGGCCTATCTGATGCCAGGAGGCATCTCCTGACCTGGAGCCCAAGGCACCTGACACTCAACTGAGATGATGACCCTAGCATAACCTGGCTGAAGAAGAGTTGTTGGGACACAAGGAAGTCTTTAAAATGTTGGACTGACAGGAGAGGGTTTCACTGGGTTAGGCCACACCTAGCCTTATCTGCAGAACATTTAAGAAGAGATGCAGTGATATTGTCTTTAAGTTACATTTATTAGAGGCAGGAACTGGGCATTACATGTCTTGAATCCTTGGAACCTGGAACTCAGAAGGGCTTTTGTGTGAGTTTGTTGAGTGGAGGAATGAGGGAAGAAAAAAGATACCCTGAACAATGCTGGCCCCTGGGTGAGGCTTAGCAGAGGCCTCACCAAGCCCAGTGAGAGGTGCTCATTCAGGGCTACAACCAACAGCTTCTGGGTTGCTGGGTTCTGAATGCAGCTGCCTAGCAGCCCATCTTTGTGCAGGTTAAAGCTGCTTTCCAGGCCCACCTTCTCTGCTCTTCTTTTACTCCAGAGTAGAAAAGAGCCCAAGGAGCTCTTCTCCTTCTGAGAGAGAGCTCACAGAGTTAGTCCCACTCTGGCTTTGCACCTGCAAGGAAGAGGCTAAGATTTGGCTCCCGCAGGTGAGGCTGTGATGACCTGGCTCCTGCCCAGCCTGCATGGAGACACCATGCTGGGTTCTGTGCCCCTGATGCACTTTTCTACTTGTGCCCCTAACTAAGGGGCATTGGGATGATTGGACGTGGAGGAGGGGTTCAGGCCAGAGGGGATAAAGCCCTTGGCTTTGCAGGGGGTCCTGTGAGGAGCTGTGTCTCAGGGAAGGGCAGTGTCCTCTCCCAGATGGCACAGAGCCTGCCCTGCCCACATACAGGGGGATGGACTACATGGCTCTCCAAGTCCTCTGTCACTTAGGGAAGGGAGTCACCCCCTCCTCCAGCATTACCACACCCGGGCTGCAGTTTCCTTGGAGTTTTTATGGGAAGAGACTGTGTCTGACTGAGACTAAGACCTTCAGATGTGAAGTGCAGATCTCAGGGGACATCATTAGTTGCAGAGCAACAGGAGTATGAAGAAGGAGACTTAGCCTGGAGATACTGGCCTCCCCTTCCCCCTACACCCTTCTTTCCAGCTTCAAATACTGCTTCCCAAACAGACTTAACTCTTTCACTTCTGTTCACTTGACCCAGAATCCACCCAGCCTTCTAGATCCAATTCAGGTCCCCTCCTGCAGGAAGTCTACCGTGATTGCCCCATTTAGAGTGCTCTTGACTGCCTGTGAGATCTAACACCCAGAGGGTGTACACCCAGAATGTGCAGCTTATGTCAGGGGTGGGGACATCAGGCTGGAGGAGTGCCTCTAGGGGCCCCACCTTGAGGATGTAGTTCCCGGGTTGTACATCGGTGATGTCAATCCACTGGCAATCGATGTCTGCGTTGTATGTGTCGTAGCAGCCTGGGCTCAGGCCCTAGGAGAGGGGACAGGAGCAGAGGTTGGGGTGCTGTGCACTCTCCTCAGAGAGCCACCCCACGCCCACTTCAGCAGCCTGGGGCCTCCTTGCTCTGTGCTTTGTCCTGACCCTGCCCACCCCCACCCACCCCCTATGTAATAACCAGAAGGAGGGGTGAGATGAAGGTGGGGGGATGCTTGGGAGAGACGGATGGATGAATGGACAGAGAGAGATAGGCAGGATAGATAGACACTCTCTGGACAGAAAGATGGATTTGGGGGCCCAGCTAGACAAATAGAACATTAAGCCATCCAGACTTCCTTGGAATGTTTTCCTTCCATGAGCAGACACCCCTGGAAATGGAGGTGCAGGGTAGGCCCCGAGGAGCCCTGCGGCGGCCTGAGGACTGGCGAGAAGACCTGCACTCTGGAGGAGCAGGGTGGCCAGGAGTCTCAGTGCTAGCCTGTCTTCAGGGTGGCCCAGCCTCCCATCCCCAGGCATCTCTGCCCCGTCGTCTGGAGCCCGGCCCCGCCTCTCCAGCCCGACCTGACCTGACCTGTGTGTGAGAGGTGCAGGCATAGCGCTTGAGGTTGCCGAAGTCACAGGTGCTGTCCTCCAGGCAGAAGCTGGCCTTGTGGCCCTCGGCCACCTTCTTGCCTGTGGCTGCGTCCAGCAGGTCGTAGTGGCTGAACTCGTCCATGCTGTGGTAGTGCCTGGGGCGGGAGAGGAAGCGGGAGAAGAGGGCCTAGGCCGCCCTGCCCAGCCCGCTCCCCTCCCGAGATGGCCCAGGTGACCCTGCCTCCTGACCAGCCTGGGCTCCTGGGTCCCACGGGCAGCATCTCTGGTGTCCCCACCGAGCCAGGCACCCTAGGAGGGCACCTCCGCAGGACCGCTCACTCCTCCCTATCCTGGCCTCCCTTGGGCGATGCCCTGCATTCGAGACACTTTCATCTCCTATCCAGACCGATCCTTCTATGTCCCGTCTTCCAGCCCCGTTGCTGAGGCTCTGCTGAAAAGTCCTTGCCCCAGTGATGGAACCCCTCTGGGGGCCCTCTCCCCAGCCCTGCCCCCAGCCCCGCCCCTCCCGAGCGCTCGCGGGGGCGCGGGTCCGGGCCCAGCCGGGGGCGGCAGCTCACTGGTGGCAGCTGTGCCACTCCCACGTATGCCGCGGCCGGTTCGGGAGGAAGTCCGCTGTGCCCTGGTTCTTCACGCGCTGGGGGAAACGCAGCAGCACGCGCACGTCGTAGTCGGTGGCCTCGGGGCCGTAGGCCGTGCTGTGGGGACAGGTGGGGAGAGCGGGGGGCGCTCAGGTACCAGCCAGAGACACCCCGCGGGGGCCGTCTTGTTCCTGAAGGTTCTCACAGCTGGTCCCTGCGTTGCAGCCAAGGCTCAGGCCCCCTCCTCTCCGCCGGCCGCCCCCTCCCCTCTGGGCCGCCCACTCCCCTCCGCCGGCCGCCCCCTCCTCTCTGCCGGCCGCCCCCTCCCCTCTGCCGTGTGGCTGGAAGCTGCCAGTGGGGACGCTCTAAAGCGGGGCCTGATAGTGACGCTCTGAGGGCCCCTGATGCCTGCTTATGACTCTCAGTTGGGGACAGTCTCTAAGCGTGGTGACTTAGATGGTTAAGAATCTGCTTGTAATGCTAGAGATCCGGGTTTGATCCCTGGGTTGGGGAGATACCCTGGAGAAGGGAATGGATACCCACTCCAGTATTCTTGCCTGGAGAATCCCATGGACAGAGAAGCCTGGTGGGTTACAGTCTATGGGGTCTCAAAGAGTGAGACACAAAGGAACGTGGGGGCATATCAAAATCTTTGGAGGGCTTTTTAAAAAATAGCCTTGTCCAAGAGATTCTGACTTCCCCCTACACCCTGGGTTCTAGCTTCAAATACTTTTTCCCAAACAGACTTAACTCTTTCACTGATCTCTACTTTTGTCTGTTCTGTTCATTTGACCCAGAACCCAACCAGCCTCTTAGCCCCAACTCAGGTCCCCTCCTCCAGGAAGTCTGCTGAGATTGCCCCACTTAGAGGGATCTTGACTGCCTGGGAGGCCTAACAGCACTGCCTCCGGCACGCCCTGATACCACACACAGCCTGAGCCCGGTCTGTGTGAGTACTCTACCTGATTCTGTGGCTTCAGGGCCAGCTACCCGACCTGTTTTGCTGGGGGAACACTGGTTGCAGACTGCCTGCTCACAGTTCACTTGCTGCCCCCCAGGTGCCAGCTGAGATGGGCCATGTGAGGAGGGAAGGGAAAAGAGAGAACTCGGGGGCAGCAGTGAAGGGACACATGTCCACACACCCCGTATGTAGGAGAAGGGGCTGACTGCAGGCTCCCCCCTCCTCAGCTGACTGCGGACAGCTGTCTTGGCCAGCCTCAGGGGCACTTCCCTAGCAATCACTAAGGGCTGGGCCCTGAGGCCAGAGGCAGGAGGTGGCCAGTCATGGGGATTAGCTCTCTGTGAGAAGATGTCTGGACACCAGGCGCTGCAGGCTTCTGTCTGCCAGGACGTAAGTCCCTTGGCCTTGTCTGAGGGAGGCTTGGAATTTGTCTCTGTCTGCGCTGGAACAGAACATCCTCCTTCCCTCTGTTCAGCTAAATCCTGCCCTTCTGTTGGGCTCGGCACACCGTGGGAACCCATTAGGGTCTGGGTTCTAGGCCCAGCTTGGCCACAAAGCCGCGGTGAGACTTGGAGCAAGTCCCTTCCCTCGTCTGAGTCCCGCCTACTTCTGTGAACTGGCACCGGTCTGTGGCCCATGCTTTTGGCCATCTCCGAGGGCCCTGCCGCTCCAGGGCGTCGGTCCTGCTGCATTTTCTAGGTCTGTATCCCACGCCCAGCCTCCGCGGATGCCTCAGCCCCTGCCAACCTCCCCCTCCTCTGGCCTCGCACGGCTCCAGCCTGCCAACCACCCCTTCTAGCTCTCCTCCACTCCCTGTCGCTTGGGTCTGGGTGAGCGGCTACCTCTCCAGCTAGATCAAAAGAGCCCTTGGACGGAGCCCCGGCTGCCTCCTCCCCAGTCCACCTGGGGGCCCAGGTGTGGGCACACAGGATGTTCCATGAAGATGGAGTAACAGCTTGGTTTTGACTCAGCCTCAGTGGACAGCCATGGAGACTGCGCTCCTGGTCTCTGAAGGCGATGTAGTAAGAGCGTACTATGACGCTCTGTTCCCAGGCATGAGACCTGAGTGGGCAGGCCAGCTGAGGGCACTCACGTGTGGTCCCTGGACCTCTGCCAGCTCTCACACTGTCTGTGGCCAGTCTGTAAGGAGATAAGGAACTTCCACCAACATGTAAATCAGCTACATCACTGATCACATGGTCTAGTTCAGCTGATACTTCTTTTTTTGAAGCAAGACTTTCTCGATGAAGGAAGTGGTGAATTGAGTGACATTCCAGTGCAAGCCCCTCATTTCATTACAGATAGATAACAGTCTGTGGTCAGCTACTCTTGAGTGGCAGTGAATGAGAGTTTCCCTCAATGAAAAAATGCTGAGATCCCCAAGGGCTTCCCAGATATGCAGAAGTGAAAGGAGAGTTCAACTGCTTTAAAAAAGCAAATAATTAAGAAAAATAGGTGCTTTCAACACAGAGGGATGTAAACAAAAGAAGTAAGTCAATGTAACCTTTAACTAGTTGTTTTAGCATGGGGAGATGTCCTCAATGCATACATTTGACCAGAACATTCGCTGTCAAACTGAGAAGCAAGCTCTGCAAGAGGCAGAATTAATCAGGTATAATGGAGAGTCAGCTGTGCTCACCTCCTGGGTTCAAGTAAACTGATGACCTTCCCCTCTCTCTAGTGCAACACACAATGGAGGCCTCACTGTCACCTGTGCCCTTGGCCCCTTCCATCAGCCTCCCCCGTCCTCTGTAGAGATGGCTCCATAATCCTGCCCTCTGTCCTGACAGCAGCTAGACTTGCCTGGGACCTTCTCACGATGCAGTTCCTCTCACTGCTCCTCAGTTACTGATGGGGCAACACAGACCCTTTGGGGTTGGTGTGAAGTTGCATGCTAAGTTGCTCAGTCGTGTCTGACTCTGCAACCCCAAGGACTGTAGCCCACCAGGCTCCTCTGTCCATGGGATTCTCCAGGTAAGAATACTGGAGTGAGTTGCCATTTCCTTCTCCAGGGGATCTTTCCAACCCAGGGATAGAACCCGTATCTCTTATAGTCTTCTGCATTGGCAGGCAGGTTCTTTATCACTAGTGGGTGTGAAGATGAAATGTCGTTAAGTTCCCTGCAGGGTGATGTGTACATAAAAGCTGGATCTCCCCATTCCCTTCCCCACCTGATACCCTAGGGGCAGACCAGGCCCACCAGTGAGAAGGCCAGGGTGGTGCAGCCTGCAGGCAGGTTCTGGGTGACTCCTGACTACCGTCCGCACTTCATCTTACCTGGCCAGGCACTTCTCCTCCGCAGCACACCGCAGGGAGTACAGGTGGGCTCTCTGGACGTAAGTGGATGCTTGCACGTAGTTGGGGTCTGGGACCAAGTCAGGGAGGCCTGGAGTCAGGAGTGGGAGAGAGAGGAGGGAGCGATAGCTTGGCATTGAGGAGGGTCGGGGTTAAAGCCCAGAGACCTCCCCAACCCCAAATGTCCTTGGTCATTCTCAGTTCTCTGCACTGGCTGTCACCTCCTCCTGGAAGCCTCCCAATGTGTGTGTGAGCGAGGTGTGTGACATGAACCATTCTCTCTAGGCTCAGGTGTGGGGTCAGGGAGGTCAGGGAGCAGAGGCTCACCTCTGGAACCCCACACTGTGGGGACCACTGAGCCTCCTGGGAGACTGGGGGGAGCGGATTTGAAGAACCTTAGAAGACAAAAGAGTGCTCTTGGCAGGGGGCGTAGCATGAACAAGGGCCTGGGGGCAGGACCGAGTGAACCAAGCAATTTCCTGACACAGACACTCCCCTTGGTGTCCTTATTTGCCAGGGCACCAGCCCCCAGACACTCTCTGCTCCTCTCTCCCTTGCAGCTGGCATTCTTCGTGAACCGCCGAGAGCGTGCCCTGGGCTTCCAGCCCTCAGCGGGTACCAGAAGGCTCCTGGGCAGAGCCAGGTGAATGGTGGTTGGCAGAAGTGAGGGTGGCCAGGAAGGGATGGGCTCACAGGAAAACACGTCCCGGGAGCAGGCTGCTGACAGGGCAGGATTCTTGGCTTGGGCACCCAGCCCGCCTTGCTCAGGATTCCTTTCATCCTGTCACTGGCCCCCAGAGCGGACCACACCTTCCCGTCTGCAGCCTCTGGCCTCCAGTCTGAGGAGGGCCTGGGGCCCAGTGCCCAGGGGAAGTCTGGAGTCTGGTCCAGTCCCCGGATCACTTGTTCCTCTGGTCAGGCTGCAGCCAAGGGTCTGTCCATTCTGCTCCCCACCCCCACCCCGGTACATAACTTCATCCCAGTGAGTTAATAGGACTAAGCAGAAGCTGAACTCAGGTGTCCAGACCCTAGCCACACAGAATAAAGACGGAAAGATCTTGATGTTGGGTGTGTGGAAGGGGTGGGGTGGGAGGTGGGCAGGGGGACTCCAGAGCCCTGGGCTCCATCCCAGCTCAGCCACCAGCTTAAAGGGGAATGGGCCTGGGCCTCCATATCCCCTCCCCTCTCATGCTGCAGGGCTTCTGGCAGATAAATGATAAAATGAAGCTGTAAGCTCTTCTTAGCTTCTTTCAAGCCCTCTGTTTCTTTGGGGGCAGGCACAGTGAGGGGGCTTGAGTCACATGGACAGGATTCTAGCCCCTTCTTCTTACTGCCAAAACCCTCGTCAGCTTGCAGGTCCAGAAGACGAGACAGAAGAGGGGGACGCTGGCTTCTGAGCCTTTCCCAGAGGTTTCTGCCTGCCTGTCACCCCTCACAAATACATCTCTGGGGCTCCCAGACCTTACCCCTGCCTGCCTAGGGCCCAAGCCTCAGGCTGGAGCAGCCAGTGTGATCTCACCTGCTTGGAATGAAGAGGAAGCAAGGAGCACAAGGGTGGGTGAGGATGAGGTGGCTCCTGGCTGATGGGGGCTGTCTTGGCCAGCCTCGGCCCGGTTACTCAAGCCCCTAGGAATGCTTGCAGTCATTTCCCCAGGGAGTGTCAGGCCCTGAAAGCAAGGGCCACCTCCATATCAAGCTGTGTCTCACTTTCTCGTCCATAGAAGCTTGTGTGTGGGGGAGAGCGGGGTGAATGGCCAGGAATGGCCCCCTTCCCATTATCAAAGAGCCTTTCCCTCAGCAACATGTGGTGGTGGGTCAGCTGGGCCTGAAGCTGCATGAGACCCACATTTGGCACCAGGCAGTCTGCCACCCCCACCCCAGGCTGGGTTTCAATAAACACTGCACAGATGACTGTACAGCACTTTCTGGCCCGACCCTTCCTCGTCCAGGGAAGCTGGAAGAGCCAGCTAAGAGGCTGGGGATACTCGGGGCTGGTGCCACTCCTGGCCTCTGACTGCTCCGTGACTCTGACCACATACTGAATTCTGATCCTGGCCACACACTGAACCTTGGTCCTGGTCCTAGGCTGAGCCAAAGATGACCATTTTCCTCCGACTGTTGAGGAACCTCAGGTTCAGGCAGGTGCCTCCTGCTCCAGGAAGGCTTCTCTGATTGGCAGTTACATTCCAAGCTGCTCACACTTCTGCCTCACTACTAGATTTCATCATATTTACCTGTGTCTGCTCCCCTGCAGTCTGTACTCCCTGAGGGCCGGGCTCAGGCCCCACTCACCCCCTCAGCGTGCTTCAGGGCTGGCTGACTGTTAAGCTGTCAGTCTCCGTCAGGCAATCAGTGGCTTCATACTTGACTGCTCCACTCATCCACCAGCATGCTCCTCACCCTGTCTCCCTCAGGAAACCACGGCTCACAGTGGCGCTGAAGGGAAGGGAGGCTCAGAGAGAGCAGTGAATCTGCCCACAGTCACACCGCAGGTCAAGGAAGCCCCAGGAAGAGCTTCCAGGTCCCAACCTCTCCTTCCAGGACTTGACGTGTTATTTTTTCTTTTTTTTAAGTTATAATTTACACAGAGTCAAATGCACAGATTTTAGGCATCCAGCTTGAAAAGCTGTGACAAATGCACACAGGGTGTAGAGCCACCACAATCATGCTGCGGTCTGCTTCCACCATTCCTGAAAGTTCCTCCCTGCCCCTTCTCAGCAAATCCTCCCTCCCTCCTCCCCACCTAACCACTGATCTGCTTTTTAATCACTTTAGATCACTTATGCCTTTTCTAGAACTTAAATGGAATCCCCCCGATCATCATTTTATGTTCTTTGTTCTGTATCTCTGACCATCACGGGGGTCCTGTGACTCCCCTAACTGGCTCCCCCTGGTCTGCCTTCCTCTGTCACACCTTCACTGCCATGGGGGAAGCTACTGGAAAAGGCAGAGTCTAGGCTGGGTCCCCCCAACCCCCCTTAAAATCCCCCACTGAGGTCTCTGGGAACAGCAGGCCCCTCCCTCAGCTGGTATGTTTTCCCAGGAAGGAACAATGCCTCCTTCTCTGCTGCTCTCCCAGGAGGCATTCCATCAGCAGCCAGGCCTGCAGGCTTGGGCTCTCAGCCTCTCCATAGGGGCTTGGGTATGTGGGTGGGCTGTGTGATGTTGGAAGGGGGCTGAGGCAAGGCTTGAGTGTGCGCTTGTGGATGTAGGGGTAGGGGTTTGTTCCCTCTGGCTTGTGGGGTACATCCAGGCCCTTCAGACAGTGCGGCCAGTGTTGGTTAAAGTTCAGTTCCAACAAGACCTGTGCTCACCTCTCTTCCCCACCATCCCAAGAAATGTGCCTTTTAAAAGGAAGATCCTGGTCATCGGGTCATCAGAAGGCAGGGAGAACCATCAGTCATGGGATGTAATTGGGGGGGGGGGGGCCTGGGACCTCTTATGCAGAATGTATGGAGTCAGCCAGCCTGTGGACCTGGCACTGGAGACATTATCAAATAGTGTAGTGGGAAGTTTTTCTGGAGACACTTGTTTTTATAAATGCAGAGAACTGGATTCTCATTTCAGAGCAACCATTATCACTGGTTTGTGCAAGGCCGTTTTCATAATTAAGTTTTTTTAACCTTCATCCTTACCCTGACCCTTAGACATGTCTTTGAACATCTGTGTCTCTGTATAAAATTGGAAGTGGGTATGTATCCGTGAGGGTATTAATTACCTCGTGGGTCTCATTCTGTTTCTTGACTTCCAGTCAATGTTAACTTTTAAGATATGTCAAGTTCATTGCTTGTCATTATGAGTACGATTCCACAGTTTATACCGATCTAGCCAGTCTCCGGGGGATGGGGTTGACCCCTCAAAGGCTGGGTGATGGGCTTGCTCAGGTTACCAAGGGAGGCCTGGTCACCTTCAGTGCCCTGCCTTCCTTGCCCAGGAGGTAGGCAGGAGCCTGACTTCTTACTCAACTGTCACAGGCCTTCTGCAAGGCCCTAGGCCAGCCTGGCCCCAGTCTAGGCCTCACTGCTTCCATTAACACAGACTGACTGTCCTCCACCTCACTCAGGGCAGGGAGCCTGGGGCTGACCCCCTGTGAACACTCTTCCCCAGAAACAGTGTGCTGGCCACGGGGGTTCAGGCTGCACAGTCTGGATGAGGATTGGGAGGACTGAGCCAGAGGGCCAAGGCCCCTGGGATGACCAAAGCTAGGCTGCTCGGCTGGGGGGGGGGGGGCTGGGTGTGAGGGAACCAGGTCCCAAGGCCATCTGCAGGCAGCCTCTGGTCTAGAGGCAGTCCCTTGGCCTTGGGGGCTCTGTTGGAGCCTACAGGGCTGGGAGGACACAGAGTGGCGGGACAAGGGCCAGCACTCAGCATTCCTGCTCTGCCCCTGGGCTTCCTCTCTGTGGGACCCAGGGCCGCTTCCACTGCCTCTTGGAGGTCTGATGTCCTCCTGCCTCCCCCGGGCTGGGCCTGGAGCTGCCGGCTGGCCCCTACGCCAGCCCGTGGAAGGCTGAGCACTGTCTTCCTGCTCCCTGGCAGGACGCAGCTGGGGCCTTCTGGTGGGAGAGAGTCCAGCAGGCGATATCTGCCATCTCGCCCCGCGCCTCGTGTTCCAGGTCCTGGACCTTCTTTAGGCTCACTTTCCCCACGTGGATGATGGGGAGATTAGAATAACCATCCCTTGAGAGCAGGTTTGATGGCTCCATAAACACTGGGAGATTAAAATATTTTTCAGGAGCTATTCAGGCCATTCCCCAGCTTTGGGCAAGAGCCCAGGACCTCTCACAACCTCTGCAGACGATACTCTAGCTGCCAGGAAATTCTCCCACCGTCTGACCTAAATCCTTCCTGCTTTAGGAGGAATCTGTTCCCTCCTGCTCAGCGGTTCCTGGCGGCTGCCCAGAGCAGAGGGTCTGAGGTTACATTCCCTCCGCGTGCCAACACCTCACCTGTTTTCCTCTTGGCTTCCTCTTTCCCGTGAGTTTCATAAACCTCGTCTCCTTTGAAATCCTTCTCCCCAGCCTCCTGCTCACACGAAGCAGCTGAAGGCAAATGGAATGCCAAAGAGCCCTAATCTCTCGAGCCTGGGGCTGCAGGATAAACAATGTCCAGCAGGAACCGGTCAGTGGGTTGTGAAATATGTACAGAGAGGGATGTTTTGGCCTGAGCGGCCCAACTCCAGAGCAGCCCCTCGGTGGGGAGAGCAGGAAGCTCAGAGAGCACGGCCTGGAATAAGGATGGGCCGGGAGGGCCTCCGGGGCGGGAGCTGGCAGCTATAGATCCTAGGAAATGATGGTCTAATAATCAGGACATTAAACTGTCGGCGCCACACCTGGGTGACTAGTAGGCAGGCAAGGTTCTGCAGGATCCACTGTGGCTCACCGTGAAGGGCAATGCAGTCCAGGCAAAGGAGCTAGGATGGTCACTGAGCCTAGCCAAGAACCTTCCTTGGCTCCCCATCACCTACAGAATCAAGTTCAGATTTCTCAGGGTGGCGGCCAAGGCCTTCTGCAGTCTGACCTTAACCTGGCCTTCCAGGGCTCTTAACCCTAAGCATCAGGAGGCATCTCCTAGCACAACTGACCTTTTCTGCCCCTGACCTCTGACCCCATAGCGCCCTTGCCCTGGACTTATTGCTACACAACACACACACACACATACCCTTATACTGGGTACAGTCTTGAGGCCCCAAAGCCCACCTCACTAACCCTCCTCGGTTCCCCTCCTTCCTCCTTCTTCCAGCACCCATCTGCTGCCCCCACCAGACTGGGAGAGGCAGTCCAAGGGCAATGATGGCCTCACTGCTCTGCGTGACAGTTCCAGACTCAGAGGAGGGCAAGGGTATTTGTTCAACTGCGCAAACTACCCAGAAGTAGCCGGGGCTGAGCTGGAGGAGGCCGCCAGGGGAGGTGAGCTAGCTTCTGCCTCCTGCCGCCTCCGCACACCTCTCGATCACTCACACTCTTCCCAGTGTGAACATGCCCGCCCGCCCCACCCACGGGCCCCCCTCTTGCAGGCCCTGCCTAGTGCCCTGCCTCCACCTCTAGGAGGCTCTGAAGATCCCATGGTCTCCTGGGTTCCCTTGCTGCCCCTCAGACCCTTCTCAGTGACCTGAACTTTTTATCTTTCTTACAAAACCCATGGACTGCCCATCTTAGCTTATGGTGACTTCACCCTTTCAGCCACACAGGACCCTTTCCCGTCATACCTGACCCCTCTCTTTCTCTTACACCCCATATCCAATTCATCAGGAAAAGCTCGTCAGTTCTATCTCCAAAATATATCCTGAAACTGACTGCCCCCCACCTCATTGTTATCCCCTGGCCCGGCCGCTGATATCTCAGCCTTGATCTCTGTACCAGCCTCCTCTCAGACTCCCCCCGTCTGCCTCCACACAGTCCATTCCCAGCATAGCAGAGAGAGACCCTGCTCAAATGTCACTGCTGTGGCTGCCCCACGAATGGAGAGTCAGAGGCCTCACAGTAGCCTACAGGACGTCCATGGTCTGGACCCCGTTACCTCTCTGGCCTGTCTCCTGTAAGGCCCCCACACCCATGCCATGCTGCTCCAGCCACGCTGGAACACACCTGAAAGCTCAGGGAGATCCTACCTCAGGCCCTTCGCACTGGCTGGTTCTTCTGTCTGGAATGCTCTACGCAGATAGCTGCATGGCTCACCCACTTGACTCATTTAAGTTTCTGTTCAAACGTCACCTTCGTGACGCCCGCCCTGACACCTCTGCAAGCTCTCCCAACGCTCCAGAGCTCCTTGATTTCTCTCTGCTTTCTCTGCAGCACTTACCACCTTCTATTATTTACTTATTATGTTCACCCATGAAGATGCAAGATCTACAAGGACAGGGACTTTGTCTCTTTTCTCAACCTCATGAATGCCCAGCTCTGGACCAGCACAGTGTAAGGCACTCCAGGAATATTTGTTGAATGGCTGCATTTCCTCATGAGATGGTGTCTGCTCTCTACAGCCAGCCTTCTGCGGTCTGGCCTTAAGCTGGCCTTCCAGATTTCTTAACCCTAAGGAGCAGGAGGCAGCTACTAGCACAACTGACCTTTTCTTCTGCCACTGACCTCTGACCCCATCCTGCCCTTGTCCTGAATCCCCTGATATGCAGGCGCGCGCACACACACACGCTTCATCGGGGTACAGTCTTGGGGTCCCAAGGCCTATCTCACTAGCCCTCCTCTGCCACCGCCCGGTGCCCCTCCCTTGTCCCCCTCCCACCACCTGTCTGCCGCCACCCCGCTGTGGCCCAGGGCCCTGAGAGCTGGCGAGTTGAGGAGAGAAGGAAGTGGACCTGGACCATGGCATCCTGCCTGCCTGGGCTGAGGCCCTGGCGAGAACAGGGATGGGTTCAGGGTGCCCCTGAATTCCCTGGACCCCAGCTCAGGGCCTGGCACCTGCATACCCTCAGTGAGCCTGAGGACAAATGCTGGCACCCCACAAAGGGCCTGCTGGCACTGCCTATGGGAGCACAGCCTTCATTACCACGTAGAGGCTGGGGCTGACTCCAAAAGCCCTTTCTTTTCAGGAAGGATTAGCTTTGGGGCTGGAAAACCATGGTTCCCTTGGCCCACGGCAGGGAGGAAGGGCGGCTTCTCTCCTGAGACTCGGGTGGCTGACGCTCCTCTGGCCTCGACCTCCCCCTCTGAGCACCCTCCTGCTCTGGTGTCCTGATGCCCTCTCCCCGTTTTCAGGTGATGCTGAGATGCCCGGTTTCTGGGCGCCCATCAGTAACGGGGAGAGGGACCCAGGTGCAGCCTGGCCCTGTAATCCTGAATCCAGACAGCAAGGCCCTCTGGCTCCAGCCGCCCGTGGGGAGGAGGCTGTTAGGTCAGGGCCGGGGAGGGACGGGACCAGCCTCTCCTTCCGGCCTCCCTCCCTGCCGGTTGCTGCTCCGCAGGAATGCTGGGCACAGAATTGGAAGCAGGTGTGGGCTGCTGGGGCCGCCGACCACCGGCTCCTCCCCCGCCCTTCCTTTCTGCCTTTCCAGCCACTGCCCTGGGGAGTTTTCCATGTGTTCTTGGCTTGGACAGGAGTCGCGTGGACTTGGGCTGGGACTACTTGGGAGAAGTGAACCTTTGGAGGTGAAGTGCCCCTTCGGAGGTGAGAGGGCATTGACATGGGGGCACCTAGGGTGGGAGAGAGGCGGAGGAAGGGGGCGAAAGGCCAGAACCGCCCCCACCGGCCAAGTGTGGCAGTAGACTGGTGCCTCTAAGGCCTGAAGCGCCCTGCTGGGCCACCACCCCAACAGGCTCTGTGGGGCCTGCGAACTCAAGGCAAAAAGTCCAACTTTTTGTGTCTTAGGGGGTTTAGATCTGAGAGAAACAATGAAGGTGGAGACATACCCTTCCTTGAGGGGCAGGAGCAGATGGGGAGGTTGGAGCGGTTTGGTGAGGGGAGTCAGCCTGGATCTGAGCTTGGCTGCTGATGAATTCTGGGACCCTAGATGAGTTACCGAACTACTCTAGCCTCAGCTGCCTCCTCTGTAAAATGGGGGTGATAATACCTCACAAGCTTGCCGGGAGGACTAAAGGAGGAAACAAAAATAAAATGCTTGGCATGGTGTCTGGGGCATACTGTGCATGCTCAGTCACGTCATTCATGTCTGACTCTTCTGTGACCCCATGGACTGTAGCCCGCCAGGCTCCTCTGCATGGGATTCTCCAGGCAAGAATACTGGAGTGGGTTGCATGCCCTCCTTCAGGGGATCTTCCCGACCCAGGGATTAAAACTGGGTCTCCTGAATTGCAAGAGGATTCTTTATCGTCCTAGCCACCAGGGAAGCCCTTGATACACATTAAGCGTTCAATAATATCAGTTGCAATTATAATTATTTAAAATAGGAGCTGTCTCTTCCTGCCGGGATAGTGCAGTTAGAGAGCAGGGGGAGAGGATGTGGCCCTCAACTGGCAGATATGAGAGGAGACAGGAAGTCTGCCTGCAAGGAGGCTGTCCCCGACACAACTTGTTTGTTCCGACACCAGTGACCTCCGATTGCCAAACAGGGGCGCAGCAAGAGGACCCAGGCCCCTCTGTCTCCATAGCTGTCTGACCCTTTACCCCAGCTTCCTCGGCCTGAGACTCCATTTCTTTCTGAAGGAGCAACTTGGGACAACTTCAGGGAAGGAAGAAGGAGTATTGAGCTGTGATTCTGCCTCCACCAGTCACCAGTTAAAGC